TATTGTGGTCTCTCTCTGGAGAGAGAGCTCATGCACACAAAAGCAGCCAACCACAGGGTCTACAAGAGCCCTACAGATGTTGTCTTTGGGCTGTTCCTCCACCCACTCACGGCACTGCCGCCTCTGTGGATTCTCTCTCCTTGCCACTTACAAGGGACAAGAACTTCAGGACTGAAATTCCCCGTCTTCCTTGTTTTAGCAGAAACCAACTTGTTCATCATCAGAATATAATGAAAACACTAGTATGTGCGTGCGTGTGTGTGTGTGTGTGTGTGTGTCTGTGTGTGTGTTGTGTGTGTGTGTGTTTAATGGGGACAGTGGCTGACTACCAGAAAATAATTACATTTATTATTACAATTTAAAAAAAAAAAGGGTTACCAATCTTTTAGAAGAAAAATAACATGGACTAGTACTGCCTGGTACATGTTACAAGTTTAAATGCCCACATGTGTTGTTCTGAGAGCTCCCACCACACTGCACATGTTTCATCCAGGACAACCACCATCAGAGCAGCTGTAAGGACACGTCTTCAAAGGGAAAACTGAAATGATCTTCCTGTTTTAGAGGTTCTTGGTGCAGAGAGACCTTATCAGTGTGAAAAACAGAATTCAAGAAGAACCATGAATGAATCTATCATTTCCTTCTCTGCTGCAGTCTGCAGAGTGGTGAGTGAAAACTCCTTTTCTATTCCCACCACTTCATCTGGATAAGAGGAGACAGAAGGGTGGGAAGGTGCCAGTGTCCTGCCAGGCCATTCGGGCGATGTTCTGCTCTCCATGCCTTTCTGCCGGTAGTAGATGGGAGAGGAAGAGGCAGCGCACCATTACCTCTTCTTGAAGCTGTATTTTTTGGGTCCTAGAGCTCCCCAAATGGACGGTCTGGGGGCAGCCATCCCTATCTCTTTCCCGGATGGCACAGTCCTTATAATGATGAGCAGCAGCTTCCAGGGCCTCCACAGATCACACAGCCCCCTGAGAGAGGCCACAGTTACACTCATCACATCTGTGCACATAGGAGTCGCAGATCGCACACTAGCCACCACACTTTTCACACAGTCTTCCGGCGTCAACACCAGCTTGCTTGCAGCAAAAGATCAAGTCCAAACATCAGCTTTTTAAACTGACAAATTAATTTTAACATAAGTCTATCACAGCTGCTGCTTTATTTATTTGCCATTCTTTATTCTTATGCCCTGGAGGGGTTTCTTTTTCTTCTTTTCTTTCTTTTTTCTTTTTTTTTTTTTTTCCACCTGGGAATACTTAGAACGTTAGCTAGAAATACTTAACTGATATTTCTTTTCAGGCTCTTTAAATCTTTAAACAAGGAACATTTCAGAAGTGTTCTGCTTTTGGATGCTGTAGATCCATGTCAGTATTTTATTTTGATAAATTAACAGTTTTGCTTTGCCCTGGCCAGTGTGGCTCAGTTGGTTGAGCATCATCCCATGCACTGAAAGGTCTCAGGTTTGATTCCCTGTCAGGATTGCAGGCTTGATCCCTTTAGTAAAGGAAGCAGTTCAGGATTGATCCCCAGTTCAGGAGGCAGCTGATCAATGTTTCGCTCTCACATTGATGTTTCTCTCCCTTCCTCTTTCTCTAAAAACAAAACACAATAAAAATATTTTTTAAAGTTTTGCTTTATTACATAATACAACAAAGAATAAAATATATGGCAATTATAAATATCACAGCATGACTATTCACAGCCTCTTTCTTCTCACCTGCTAAACAATATTTTGCTATTGTCCTCCTAACATTTTCTTCTTCCCTCAGTTTGGAGCTTTATTAGTAGATCAAAGTGAAGGGGTGTGTGTGTGTGTGTGTGTGTGTGTGTGTGTGTGTGTGTGTGTTTTAGAGGAGAACATACTAGGAAAGCAGGAGGGGAATATCAAAAAAAAAAAAAAAAAAGGTTGGTATAATTTACATTGAAAGAAAGCAAATGACTAATGGAAAGAAATAAATTTGATCTCAGGGAAGAAAGGCGTGAAAGAGTTCAAGTTTCCTAGAAAATATTAGTAGAGATGTTGAGGTATAGCCACTGTATGGAAGAGGGATGTTGACATGACAGATAGAAAAGAGCTTTTAAGTTTTGCTCTAAAGAGTACGTCTGTCCACTATACCCACAACACACATCTAGAGCTTTCTGAAGTGAATGTTTTATTTGCTTTCAATATTTTTGCTAAGACTGGGCCACAAGGGACTTGACAATTCAAACTATCAAAATCTCAGGACACATTTTTTATTTAGACATTTTATATAGACGTAAGTTAGTGACTCCTAGTTTTAAGATTAAGATTTTTTTAAAATACATAGGGAAAGTATTAAGGGATGATTCATATTCTTTAAAGATGCATTTCTTGAGGTTTTAATCATTTTGTGAAACCTTGGGAAAACTCTGCTATTAAGCATTTAACATTGCAACTACCCTGAGGTCTTCCTAAAATCAGAAACTCTTTTTCCACAATCTTTCAGCATTTGTCTTATATCTCTGTTATTATACTCAATTTATTCTGCCTGGCTTGTTTTTTTCAAAGAAACTTTTTATAAAAATACCATATGTTGGCCTGAATTCGTCTTTCCCCCCACAGATTTACTGAAGTATAATTGACAAAATATATTTTATATTTCACACATAGTAATATATTAAAGTATACAACTTGATGATTTGATATACATTGTAAAAGGATTCATACACTCAAGTTAATTAACATCACCTCATAGTTAACTTTGTGTGTGGGGGGGGATGCTTCAAATGTATTCTCTTAGCAAATTTCATGTTATACAGTATTAACTATGGTCACCATGCTATACATTAGATCCTCAAAATATACCCATCTTATGCAAAGTTTGTGCCTTTGAGCAATCTCTCCCCATCCTTCTCTACACCCACCCCCACCCCTCCACACCCCAAGCTCCTGACAACTGCCAATCTACTCTGTTACTATGAATTTGGCTTTTTTAGATTCTACATGCAAGTGAGATCATACAGTACTTGTGTTTCTCGGTCTGGCTTATTTCACTTAGCATAATGCCTTCCCATTTTATCCATGTCATTGCAAATGGCAAGATTTCCTTCTTTTTTGTAGCTGAATACACTTCATTGTGTGTATTTACCACATTTTCTTTATCCATCCATCAACAGACACATAGGTTACTGTAAATAATGCTGCATGTTCAGGCTACTGAACATGACAGTAGAGATACTTCTTTGAGAGAGCAATTTCATTTTTTTAAATATATACCCAAAAGTGGGCTTGCTGGATCATATGGTAGTTCTATTTTTAATTTAGCCTGGATTTATTCTTAATTGTGTCTTGTAAGCTCATTGAAGACAGAGACCAAACCTGGCTTATAAAACACTATCATGGCAATTAACAGCACAGGTCTTGAAGTTAGACACAGCTAAGTTTTAATCTTGGCTCTGCCACTCCTTGGTTAAAATACTAAGTGTGTATGTGTGTGTGTGTGTGTGTGTGTGTGTGTGGTTGTTGTTGTTTAACCCTGTTTAATCTCAGTACTCTCATCTGTAAAATTGAGGTAACTCCTATTCCTCTCAGGGCATCGTGAACATTAAATGAGAAGATGTATGAAAGTGTTTATAGAACACACCCAAGCATTCAACCAATGGTAACTAGCATTATGTGTATGCCTACTTTATTATTTGAATTGCTACCACATAGCTCAAAAGTAGCTGCCCTGATCTTTGCTAAACAAATCATGGCCAAGATGAGAGAAGAAAACCAAGAAAGGAACCTAGGGCCTGGCACTCTGATTTTATTATACCGTGATTTCTCTCTGTGACCTTAAGATTTGGAGTCTCAGGGTCTGCCATAGAGGTTTGAAGCCTTCTTCTAGCCCAAATGAGCCTTCTCAAAGGTGGGGTAGGAAGAAATAGTACTAGGGCCTCCTTGGGAGATCTGAGCCTCTCTGGGGAATTCCAATTCAATCTCTAGTTCTTTCACTCTTCCTGCCCTCCCCAATAGCATCTCTAGAGTCTCCTCATGATGGAACTTCCAGTGACTGGCCTGTAACTTTGTGGGGTCCCAGGAGTTGGGTGCCCTCTTAACTACCACTTCCTGCATGAAGCACTTCCTGTTTTTCCAGGTCAGAGAGAGTCTCTCCTGTTATATCACAAAGCATTCATTGTCCTGTTCTACTGATTAGCTTTACGTCCTTACCTACTGTGAGCAAAGTCTGGCTCTCGTTCCTGTTTGATCAGTACAGTGACCTGTACACAGTTCTCAGGTAATGATTGTTTTTGCTGAATTATACTGAAGCCGATCTTGGGGCCACAGCTCCAGCTGAGCTAAGTCCCAGGCCTTTCCCTAAACTCTAAGATGTTGTTATCCTGATCCCCAGAGCTTGAAGATACAAACTTCTGCCACCGATGAGGGAACACAGCCTCTGGTAGATTAGCAGTTCATTGTTTGATTCCCTGTACAAAGTTCCCAGCAACAGGTTTCAAAAAGCTGGCAGGAATCCAGAAGAGAAAGTTTATATAGTAGGAAATAAATAGGGATTTACAAAACATTAACATCAAACTTTTTCCTCTCTATAACTTAAAGTTTTTTGTTTTTGTTTTTACACCATCCAATTATTACATAGGAGTGTGGTGGAAACAGCTGAAAACCATCTGAAAGAATTCTGGCTCTATTAGCAGAACAGTTGACTTAGTAGTCATAGAATAAGAATAATAAAGCCATAATGTATTTGGTCTCAAATAGACTTATTCTGAACCACTCAGCATGCACAAAAACAGTACATTTTTCCTTCTCGATTATTATGACCACAGTCTGCTAAAGTGGCCAAAAAAATAAATATATTTCATAGCTATTCTTAAGAGTGATTTAACTTAATTTGGGTACAATAACATCTCGGGGGGGAAAAAAAGAAAAAGAGAAAAGAAAAAAAAACTTGCCATCTCAGCAACTTTCTTTTCTCACTCGGCATGGAGAGAAGAAGAAAATTACCTTTTCAACTTGGCCTTCCCCTGCTCGAACCTCAGTTCTGCTTGAAGAAGGTGAACGTGTCGGCCCGGGATGGCACGTAGCTCTTCACGAACTCGGTCAGCCTCCCGAAGCCCTCGGCCAGCCCGGCCCCGGTGATGGCACAGCAGGGCTGCACGTACCAGCTGCGGTCGCAGCAGAGCTTCTGCACCTGGAACAGCCTGGTGATGTCCTCGGCGGTCAGAGCCCCCGGCTTGTCCTGTTTGTTGGCCAGCAGGACCACCGGCACGTGTCTGATGTGCTCGTTCCCGAGGATGTGCTCGAACTCCCTCCTGGCATCCTCCAGCCGCTGCCGGTCCGCGCTGTCCACCACGTACACCAGCCCGTCGGCGCGCTCGCAGTACCAGTCCCACAGGGTCCTCATCGTCTCCTGGCCTCCCACATCCCACACCGTGAACGAGAGGCTCTTGCCCAGCTCGAGCATCTCCACGTTGAACCCCACGGTGGGCATGGTCACGATGTCCTTGGCCAGCTTTAGTTTATACAGGACGGTGGACTTCCCCGCAGAGTCCAGGCCCAGAAGGAGAATTTGGGCTTGCTTCACTTTGGGAGTTTTAGAACTCGACAGGCCCATGTCAAGCTTTTCATGAATTCTCCTTTTCGGCCAGGAGACAACGTGTCTCCTCCGGGTTCTTGCATGAAAATGGTAGGAGGAAAGAAGAGAGCAAAATACTTCTTCTCAAGATAGGCAGAGAAGAGGAACGTGTGTGTATTTATGCTGTGCCTTATCAGCTTGGTTATGGGCAAACAGTGTTTTATTTGCAGTCCCAACCAATTCTGAGGAATCCGTGGCGTGAGTAATCAGCCAATGCCATCGTCGCTCAAAGGGGAAATGTTTTGCGGGTGAGTTGGGCTTGGGAGGGGCCTGCCCGGGTGATGCTGTAGCTTGTTCCCTTCCAGGTACTGGAGACCTAAGGTAACCGAAGGTGCAGACATGCATGGGAGCAGGAGTTGGCGGCGGAATGAAACTTAGCTTGACAAGGGGTTTGTAGAACTTCCCCAATTATTTGGCCATTTTTATCTTATCCCAGCAGCAAATAAGTAACCAGCCTTCTGAAGTCATAAAGAGAGAGTTTATCTCATACTTCCCTATGCAGTCTCTTTGGTACTTTCCCCTTGCCCAGATTACTCAGTAGGAAACTTGAAACCTCCCAAGGTTGTCTGGACCTTACTCCCGTAATCACATAGGGTATCATTTCTTTAATCTTTTTTAAAAAATATATTTTATTGATTTTTTTACAGAGAGGAGGAGAGAGGGATAGAGAGCTAGAAATGTCGATGAGAGAGAAACATCAACCAGCTGCCTCTTGCACACCCCCCACTGGGGATGTGCCCGCAACCAAGGTACATGCCCTTGACCGGAATCGAACCTGGGACCTTTCAGTCCGCAGTCCGACGCTCTACCCGCTGAGCCAAACCGGTTTCAGCAACTTCTTTAATCTTCTAAGCAGAAAATGTACACTATTCACAAGGCCAGATTTACAGAGGAGGAAGCTTATCTCACAAACTCTTAAAATTAAGCACACAGCCGAAACTGGTTTGGCTCAGCGGATAGAGCGTCGGCCTGCAGACTGAAAGGTCCCGGGTTCGATTCAGGTCAAGAGCATGTACCTTGGTTGCGGGCACATCCCCAGTGGGGGGTATGCAAGAGGCAGCTGATTGGTGGATGATTCTCTCTCATCTATGTTTCTAACTCTCTATCACTCTCTCTTCCTCTCTGTAAAAAATCAATAAGATATATTTTAAAAATAAGATAAAATTAAGCACACAGTCTGATTAAAGATGACAAATTGATTTAGTTGGAATCAATATCTTAAAACATATTTCCTTGTATTTATATCCTCTCTTTCTCAAGATTCCACCAAAATCATGGTAAATAAAAATAAAAAGAACATAAAAATCCATGACAAGAAGACAGGAGAGTCCATCAAAGAGTTAGGGATTTTAACAAAATTCTGGCAGATGGAATATAGATGGGAGATGAGGGGTAACTGATGCAACGGGATGAAATTGAGGCTTTGCGTGCTAATTCATAGGTTACAGAGGGAAGGAGTGAGATGAGGGCCTAAAAACATAGGGGTCAAGCTAAAACTCTGAATCAGGAGCAAAACATATACACACACACCTTTGCTGAGTGACATTTCAGCAATGAGAAGTTACTCCCCAGGCCAAAACACACACACACACACACACACACACACACACACATACAGAACACAAAACAAAACAAAAACTAAATGGTTCTTTTCTAAAGAAACTGAATGATGTCAGAAAAAGAGACCTCCATGTTTTGGCGTTTGGGAGTTTTCACATTTTAATGCCTAACTCAGCATTCAAGTAACCTATAGCCATCCTGGCAGTTGGCAAACATTGCTCATATACACAGAGTTTCCAATCAGCTTTTCAGCACACAGATTTCTATATTTAATATTTAAAATGCCTTTAATGTGAATGAGGGAAAGACCAAGATAGAATAAGAAGACTTAAAGAAAGTTTAAACAGTTAGTGCAGGGAACAGAAGAAAATAAGTCTTAATCAATATTTCCAAAGATTTGAAAAGATATCGCATCCATAAAACAATACATGGATGCTGTTTAAAAGACTACTCAAAAAACAAAACTCTTGAAAATTAAAAACGTGACTTCCAAATTTTAAATAAAGATCATTAATAGGTTGGAAGGAATAGGTTAGAATGTAGAAGATAGAAAATATGAAAGAAAAGGTAAGAGTTGTAGAGGATTAATCCAGAAGTTTTAATGTTTGACATAATTCTTTATTCCAGAGGGAATAGAAAAATGCAAAAGAAGAAATTATAAAAAATAATAATATAAGAAAAAATATATGACTATTTTCCAAATAAAATATATAAGATTATTTTATTCTGCAAATAAAACTATTTTCTAAACTTTAAAAGAAAGATCTGTCCAGATTGAAAGGCTTCCCTCAATGATTAGCAAATTGCTTTTTAAAAGAGCTTGTACCAAGGCATATAATATACATATTTTATTTTTATTAAAACTAAAATTTAATTTTTTTAATTAGACTTTTCTGGGTGCAGAAATACACTTATGAAGAAATTATTTTAACCTTTTAAAGAAATATTTTAACCAACTCACTGTATCTCAGAAAATAACATTGTCGTTCATTTATTCATCCATCTAGTCATTCACTCAACAACAAATATATTGATTGACTACTTTGTGAACCACCATGCTAGATTACAAGGGAATTTAAATAAATTAGGTCTGCCCTTAGGAAGATTTCATTGGAGACAAGGTAAAGTAAAATATGTGAATAAATAAAAAAACAATAATACAAACTTAAAAATTATAAATTCTAATAAAAAAAGAAAAGCTAAAGTATTTGGACATTGAAATATTACTTCAGGATAAAGGTCATTAGGGAAATCACCTAGACAAGATTAAATATTGAACAGAGCCTTATAAAGATGTAGTGGGGGAAGGGCAGTAATTAAAGAGATGGTCTGTGTGAGCAAGTTCTCAGATATGGGAAAATATAACATATATGGGGAAAACAACAGGAATGCATAGAATATATACATGTATTTTTACCTACAAACATGTTTAACTTTTATGAGAAAACGATCACACAAATCTAGATTTTAGGACATGCTACAAAACAACAAACCTGGACTCTTCAAAGTATGTCCATATCATGAAAAATAGAAAAGAGAAAAAAGAGGAGAGGAAGAATATTCTAAATTAAAAGATACATGATTCCTAAATAGCTTATGTTTATCTTTGATTAGATTCTTTGTCCAAAAAATTATTAAAGAAAGTATGACAATTGAAGACTTTTGATTATGAACTGTATATTAGATGCTGTTATTTATCAACTAGAAGCCTGGTGCACAAAATTCGTGCAATGGGGGACGGCGGTCCTTCAGCCCTGCCTTCGACCTCTCGTAGAACCACAGGCCAAGTAGCCTGGCCTCCCTCTTTTGGGTGATCAATCACGGGGCTCCACAATCAATTGCTTCAAAGAGGTAGGCCTCACCCACCCAACCAGGGCTCCACAATGGATTGCCCCCAGAGGGAGACCCTACCCACCTGCCATAGCCTACCTGTGAGTGGCCTGAGCCTCCCTCTTTGGGGTGATCTTAAAACCCTGTCCAATTGATCACCCCACTGGCCAGGGGCCTGGGCCTCCCTCTCCGGGCGATCATGGGGCAGTATTGGGGCCCCCCACCAATCGCATCACACCCACCTTGGCTGGCCTGACACCAATGGGTATCATAGTGTGGTCATCCAGATGGACAGTCATTCCGCTGTTTGGCCATCTGTCAATTTGCATATTACACCTTTATTATTATAGATGTCAAATGTCTTGTATACAGGGATGGTATGGTTATACTAGTATAAGAGATGTTCTTATTTTAAAGAGACACATGCAGCAGAGAATCCAAGATGCTGAACAGGTAGACACCTAGCCGCAGCCACACACAACAATTTCAATAAGATATAACTAAAATATAAAATGGACATTACCCTGAACTACAGGAAAGTCGACTGACTGTAAATTCTACAACGAGAAGCAAGGAGAAGGAAGAGCGGAGGAGCTGTAAAAGCCTAAAGTACGGAGACATGTGGCACGCGAAGAGGACGGAACCGGAGAGGAGGGAGGCTGAGAGAAGGGGCGGCTGAGGGCCTGGCTGGCGTTCCCTAGCAGGAAGGAGATAAAAGCTCCAACTGTGCTGGGCCCCAGTTCCTACTGCTCTGAACCCCAGTTCTAGGCCAGACCCCAGGGACCCAGGCTCATCCATAGGGAGCTGGGCTGTAAGGCGGAACCCCGGGAGAGCGGCGAAAGGAGGTCCCGGAGGCGCGCACATTGTGCGCAGAGAAGGGACCGTTGGCTGTGCTGCGGGATCGCCCTGGCGGGAAGGAGACTGGGGCTCCAGACTGCTCTGAACACCACCTCCAACTCCACTTCCAACTGAACTGAACCCCAATACAGGGCTCATTGGGGGAGAGCCTAGACTATTTGGTAACAGGCGAAAATCGAGGGCACCTTTCTTTCAGAGGTGCTTGCAGCGAGTACTGAAGGACCCTGAGACGCAGGAGTCGCATAGGGCGGGGCTGATGGAAGCCAAAGCTGTAGGCTCCATCCTGAAACCCCGCCCCATCTGGGAAGCTGCGAAAATGCGACAACGAAATAGATCACAAACGAAAGAAATGGAGGACAAAAAGCGACTGGATATAGAGTTCAAATCTACGCTTATAAGGTTGTTCAAGAATTTCCTAGAAAAGATGGATAAGACCTATGAGGATATGAAAAGGGATCAACTATAATTAATAAGGAATCAACAAGAAATGATAAGGGATCAACAAGAAATAAAGAATACATTGTCTGAAATAAAAAATATTATACAGAGTCCTAAAAACAGAATGGAAGATCGCAAGAATCAAGTAAAATATTGGGAACATAAAGAGCCAGAAGACACTCCTCTGTAGAAGATAGAAGGCAAGAGAATCCAGAAAATTGAAGATAATGTAAGAAACCTCTGAGACAACTTCAAGCGAACCAACATCAGAATAATGGGGGTCCCAGAAGATG